ATCAGGCGGTATAGCGATACCAGATTTCAAACTATATTACAGAGCAATAGTGACCAAAACAGCATGGTACTGGTACCAAAACAGGCGGGTGGACCAATGGTATAGAATAGAGGACACAGAGACTAATCCTTTTAGGCATTTATTATGCCAAGTATTTAATGATTATTATTATGACATACAGATAATACTCATTTAGTAATAAAAGATAAGATCTTATTAGCCCAAAGACCATTGAAGAGTTTCCAAGAAGTTCCAAAGTAAAATGTGGCTATCCTTTCCATGTGATGAATAGAGTAGCAGCAATCCCCGGGTTTCTCTCAAACAGAAACTCTAAAGTTTATGTTTAATTGGGCCTTAAGTAAATGACTTGTTGCAGTATAAAAATAAACACAACATTTTAGAAACTAGTCAATATGACTGGCCTGAATTTGGTTCAGGCCAGTCATATTGTGCATGTCTAAAGTAAGCAATTTCAACAACAGTATATATGAAAAATTAACAGTTTTCCCAAGTTTTCTAACTCATATACAAACTCTTACAATGGAATTCACTCTTACAATGGAATCAAAACCTAGTTCTGAACATAACCTACAGAAATAGCATGTAAACACATAGAACTTTGAGATAGATTAAGAACATCCTCCCAGGTTCTATCGGTCAAAATGCAAAGATCTCTGAAACATATATAAATGAATATATTAATTCGGAATATAATGAGACATTATTATATGCATATATACACACTGTAATATGAACACCATAAAATAAATTCTGACAATGTTCCTATGACCCAAATTTCCTAACCCTGTTAGAGAAAGTAAATAAAAAACTTAGTAGGAAAACTTTTCTTTTTCTTTCTTGCTGGGGATTGAACCCAGGGGCACTTTATCACTGAGCTACATCCTCCGACATTTTTATTTTTATTTTTATTTTGAAACAGGGCACTTTGCTGAGTCTGGCCTCAAACTTGTGATTCTTCTCTCTCACTTTCCYGGGTCACGGGATTACAGGCACGCACCACCTTGTACAGCTTTTTTCTTTTATTGAACAAAGTTTTTTAAAATATATATTTTTTAGTTGTAGATGGACACAATATTTTTATTTATTTATTTTTATGTGGGGCTGAGGATCGAACCCAGTGCTTCACATGTGAGGCAGGCACTCTACCACTGAGCTACAGCCCCAGCCCCTTGAACAAAGTTTTTAAGTGAAAAAAATAAATCCGATATTCCTCTTTGCAATGGACTGATTCCAAACAGTTCTAAAGTAAGTAAGAATCTCTTTGGTTGTTCCCCAATGTCACAGAMTGCATAAGCTTGCTCTCTATTTAAGAAATCTGATCATCTCCAATGACACTTTTCAAGTACAACGTAGCTATGCTGGTTAAGTTCTTCCTGCTGCCCATTTTGTAACCATACAGGTTGGYACTTTGTCGCACCACACCCACCATAACCACAGCCAACCACTGAAGAGAGCACTTAAGGGCAAATATCAACCACAGCACGGGACCGACAATCAGTTCCAAACAAGAGACTCTTGATTCAGCCTCTGAGAGAGTTTGATTCTCCAGATGAGTTGCCTTCCTGGACTCACACACTCAATGACTCTTTCTTTCCATCCTCATCCATGTGATTCCACCACGGGAGGCCAWCCATTAGTCTAGTTTCGGTCTTGACTGCAGCAACAAGATAATTCTCATCAGACAGGCAATGAAGCTGCTGCTGAGCAATTCACAGAGAACATAGGCTATAATGGCACCCATAGAACAAATGGAAATGGATAGAACAAATGGAAAAATGATGCCAGTGGATGCCTGATTTTGGATTTTCTTGGTCTATTGTCTCTTTTTCTGGGTCAAACAATGAAACATCTTCAGTGTCATTGTTGCTGTCCCTGTGCCAGCTGCAGTCCCAGGGGGCCTATGTCAGTGCAGCAGCTGCCAGGTCTGGTCTCCTGAGTCCCAGTTCTTAATTGCCCAGCTCTGCTGTCTCTTGAAGGGCTTGCTCTGTCCTCAGAGAGCTTCATCAGATGCTGGACAGTATTCTGTTAGACGGATGTACCATAGCTATTCTGTTGACCCCTATGGACACCGGAGCTATTTCTAATCATCTACAACTATAATCCCTGATGAGATAAGTAACCATGTGTGTCTTGGATACATGCAGATGCAGTTGTTGCGGGCATTGCTGAGCCAAGGGCAAATGCATTTATAACTGCAGGATCCCGCCACACTGCCCACCACCAGGGTTGCACCACTGCATGCCCTATGGAAATACCTTCCCTTCACCCTCTTCAGCAAATTATATTATTCAATTTTTGAATTTTTATTATATTAAGGGATATTTCCAGTGCTGAATGCAGGGCCTCCCATATGCTAGGCAAGCACTCTACCACTGAGCTACCTCCCCAACTCTAATTTGCCCATCTTTTTTTTTTTTTTTAAACCACTACTGGGGATTGAACCCAGGGGTGCTCTACCATTGAGCTACATCCTCAGTCCTTCCTCCCCCTTTTTTGGAAACAGAGTCTAGGTAAATTGTTGAGGCTGGCCTCAAACTTGAGATATTCCTGCCTGGAATCGATGGGATTTTCGGTGCGGGGGTGCCATGCCCTCGGCTCAAACTGCACATCTTTAACAATGAGCCTGAGCATCTTTTTCTATATGCAGGGGCCATCTGGCCTTTGGTTTTACTTGGGCCGTCTGTTCTTGTCCTTGGCTTGTTTCTCCAATGGGTGGTTGGCCTTGAGTTTATGATATACCATGTTCCCCTTCTTTATTACAGCATTTGCCCTCTCAGATTTTCTACGAGGGTTATTAAGGCTTTTCCCTCCGTTTCTTTGGCTCAGTCTCCCTGAGCTTCCCCATCCAGGCAGGGGGAGCCGAGGCAAGAGGACGCGCTGATGGCTGGGCGGGCGACACACCTGCAGCAGCCAGAGTCAGGGAAAAGGTGTCATGGGGCCATCTGAGTATAGGGCCTTGGTGCTTCCGCGGTCGGGAGCTTTTGGCTTCCTCGGGGCCAAAAGGCAGGCCCAGACCAGGTGGGGGCGGGAAGGTCACTCCACCCCTAAAGAGAGGGGCAGTTGTTCCAGGAAGCCCCGATGGGTGGCCCCTTCCCATGCATCTGCGAAGACGCACTAGTAGTGCGTCGAGGTCTCGGGACCCGGTGTCCCCGGTTCTTCACATCCCGCAGAACCCCACGGCTGACCCCCAGGGAATCAGGGCCAGAGCGCAGGAGGGCCTGTCCGCTCCTGCGACAGGAGGTGCCACCAGGAGCGACGTCTCCGGCAGCCGGCGCCCCCCGGCTCAGCTCCGCGGGGCCCCCGGCCCTCCCCCAGCCCTGGGCGGCGGGAGTGGAGCCGGATCCCGCTCTTTCGTTTTCGTTTCCCGGAAGGATAGCGCCTACCCCAGCGCCTCGCGCGCCTGCTCGCCGGGGCCCAGGGTTCACGCCCCGGCGCTTCTCGCCAGATTTCGCCCCAGGCGACCTTTCAGTTCTCAGCGCCGAGCAAGGGGCCTCGGGGAGAGGGGCAAGGAGCACGGCCCCGTGCCCAGCAGCGCCAGCCGGGAGCGCTCGCGACAGAAAGCCGGTGGCCCCTCACCTCCACCTGGGATGCAGGTAAGAGCCCGGCAGAGGAGCCCGCCGCGCACGCGGATCCCCCTGCCCGCTCCCATCTCGATTCCCATTTTATTAGACCTTTAACTGCCTGGAGTCTCACTTTCCGACAGATTCCTAACCCTCACCACCAACCCTGTCCCTCTGCTCCACCCCTAGACGCTCCTCACGACGGTCCCGCCTCTCTCTCTCTCTCTTTCCCCGAAATCCCGGTGCGAAGGCATCCCACACAGCGTCCCCAAGGCCCCAGATCCTTTCTGAAGTCTCCTTTCCTCCTCATTTCTGCTACACTAACCCGATGGGAGGTCCCTGGAAATTCCTCCACAAGTCAGGTCCTCCCAGCTGTCAAACATAATCCCACTGGGACCCTTTCCTCAGCAGTCCCTCTCCATTTTCTTCCCTTAGAGCTGGGCCCCATCCTACCCCAGGGCCTTTCTCCACTTCTCTCTCTCCAAGAGCCACGCCCACTTATCAGCCCTCTCCCAGGCCTTCATGCAGAAACCCGGGGGTCTCCACGCTGTAGGCTCCCTGGCTGCATCTCCCGGACAGTTACTGCCTCAGGATTGCCTTCTTCTCTTGCTTGCAGGCGGGTGGAGGAGTAGACAAGTCCTTGTCTTGAGCCCCTTCTCTAGCAAGGGAGCTCACAGTCCCTCAGTTTCTTTTCTTTTGGTATCAGGGATTGGACCCAGGGTCACATAACCACTAAGCCATATCCCAGCCCACCTCCCCCTTTAAAATTTTTTTATTGTAGTTGTAGATGGACAGAATGCCTTAATTTTATTTATTTTTATTTTTATGTGATGCTGAGGATCAAATCCAGTGCCTTACAGACATTAGGCAAGCCCTCTGCCGCCTAGCTACAGCCCCAGCTCCCACCAGCCCCCTTTTATGTTTTATTTTGAGAAGTCTTCTGGGCTTCGCTAAGTTGTTGAGGTTGGTCTCAAATTTTTGATCCTTCTGCCTCAGCCTCCTCAGTCACTGGGATTATAGGCTGTGGCACCTGAGTCTGCTCCCTCTCAGTTTCTGAGGCTTGGATATCTAGGAAACAGCACCAACGGGGACAGGTGGTGCCCTTCTCCTCCAGAAACGAAATGGGAACTGTCCCAAAAGATGTCAAATCCCCTTTTGCATCAGCCAAGGCTTCTGGAGTTTGCTCTGCTGGCTCCAGATCCCAACTCCTTAGGTGCAGATTACCTTCCTCAGACCAATGAGTGTAAAACTCTAGAAGATCCTAGAGTGAAATGGACTCTCAGGACCTAGTTTCACTTTTCCTTTTCTGACTGAGGCAGTTGTGGCTAGGCTGCAGCCCCAGGGATCCTTCTGCAAATACCACATCTGGCCACTTGTTTCTTCTCCCATCCTTCTGGATGAACCAACTCACGGCCAGGGCTATCCTGGCTGTAAAACTGTTAGGATAAAGACTTCCCTTAGGGCTGGAGTTGTGGCTCAGTGGTACAGAGCTTGCCTAGCATGTGTGAGGCCCTGGGTTCCATCTTCAGCTCCAGCTAAAGAAAAAAGAAAAATAAATTAAAAAAAAAAGTCTTCCCTTTGTGAGACCTCGGGTCCGAAACTTATTCTTTTTCCTTTTTGAAAAAGTGTTTATTTACTTCTGAGTTAAGGTCTTTTCATCCTGGTCCCTTGGTCTCCATGTTGTGATCTCACTAAGAATCCAGAGAGTATTTCTAGGCCTTCAGATTTCAAGTCAAATTGTGCTAGGGAATCTTTTTCAGGGAGTTGAAAACTTGACTTGGAAGGATGAAATTTATCCAGTGTCTGCTGTGAACAAGATGTTGATGGTACCTTTAAGGTGGACACAGTCTATTGGCAGAGATAAACACTCTTTCTCTCCAAAAATAATTCTCAATACATTCCAGTATGGCTAAGCCTCCTTTGAYGGCTCTGGTTTTCTCCTGCTCTAGGAGGGAACACTGGCCTATTCTCCTGTAGGTCCTGCAGCGGCCACACCCCCCTTAGGCACCCAGGTCCAAGCCAGATGTGAAGCTCAAGTGCAACTGCTGGGTGAGACTGGGATCTGCAAGCTTCCAGGAAGACTCCGTGAGTAGAGGGGAGGAGAAAAGCTCATTTTTTGTTAAAGTCTTAAGTGTCACTGCTTATTCAAGGAGTTTCCTTTCCTCTGTTCCCAGTTCTTTGGCTGGGTTTTAACTCCTCCTCGGTGAGGAAGTCAGAGAAGGTGTACAGCTGGCATTGAGGGGCAGGCATCCTCAGTGGTGAGATGAGGGCTGGCGCTTAATGAGCCTTTGGGTCCTTTCCAGGTTAGAGACAGGATTGGAGACATTGGCAGAGAGGGAGTGGGTGGGGCTAAACAGTGAACAGTGGCATGCACAGAAAACCTTCTTTTAAGCTACAACTTATCATTTTTATTATTACAAAAGTAGCATGTGCTTATTGTCAAAAATTAGGCACTGCCAGAGAAGGGTAAGAAAATACTAGAGAACAGTCAAATGCACCTACAGTAACCATGGGAAACATTAGTAGTCTCCTTTCATTTCCTTTTCCTAAGTAATGTTCTTACCCCAGGGTACGCATAGCGTTGGAGCAGGCTGGAAATTAATGTATTTATGTCTGTATTTCAAATGAGAGGCAAAAAATCTAAGTGACATGTTCAAGATCACAGGGCTCTTTTCTAAAATTTTTAGTTATAGATGAACATGATGCCTTTACTTTATTTATTTATTTTTATGTGGTGCTGAGAAATGAACCCAGTGCCTCACACGTGCTAGGCGAGCGATCTGCCACTGAGCCCCAGTCCCAGCCCTCACACAGGCCAAATTTTGGTCCTGCTGGTCATCTTCTAGGAGACTTTTGCTTGGTTTTTAGTTTTTATTTTATTTTATTTTAGCTTAGTTTATTTGCGGAACTGGAGACTGAACTCAGGGACACATTACCACTAAACTATATTTCCAGTTCTTTAATTTTTTATTTTTATTTTGAGACTGGGTCTTGTGGCTCAGGCTGGCCTCAAACTTGTGATCCTCCTGCCTCAGGCTCCTGAGGAGCCTGGGACGTTAGGTGCATGCCTCYGTACCCAGATTAAGATTTTTTAAAATGTACTTCCTAAACCATGGAATCCTCGGCTCCGCAGCTGGCTGACCCCAGCCAGGGTCTTTGATCGGGACTCAAAGTTGGACTCAGGTTGTGAAGCACCCAGACCACTTTGCTCCCTGCTCCCTGGAACACTGCCTGACAGGTTTCCTGGCTGCCACCTACGTTTTGAGCTATGACAGGACTAAGCTGTGGCTTAGCAGAGGGTGAGGTGACTTCACACCTCTGTGGTCCACTTCCTGACCTTTAATTGGGAAGATAACCCTTAGGTTAGAGGGAAGGTGGGACTGACAGGTACACTCTCCCTGGGCAGGTGCTGGAGGGAGTCTAGCAGGGAGGTGCTGCAGAGCAGGGTGGCAGGCGGGGGAGCTCCACAGGACCCTCTGTCCCACTCGCCAAGTCCTAGAAGGTCAACCCTGGGAAAGAGCTTTGACGTGGCCCCTGGAAACTCCCTTAATTTCCCAAACAAGGAAACCCAGGCCCAGGAGGCTGTGTCAAGGTCACTTTCTACCTTCAGGGCCCTGCCCTGCTGGGTGAGGGAAACAGAAGGAGAAGTGAGAATTCAGAGTTTAGTCACCGCCTGGATCAGTACAAATACACCACCTTCTAGTTTTTTGATGTTCACGGGCTCATTGGGGATGTAGGGAAGGGCGAGGCTGGGGGGGAGGGAGCCTGAAAGCTGGGGCAGAGCCAGAGCTGGGGCAGGGGTGGGGAGGAGCAGCTCAAGACTACCAGCCMCCCCCCCCCAACCCTGTGATTAATGACCCTTTGCCTGCTTTGAGAAAAGACTTCTGGAGTTCTTGTTTTCTCCAAAAGTGGGTTAAAAAAAAAAAAAAGAAGGAACAATTTGATCTGATTTTAAGACACACCTACATATCTATTAACTAAAGACATAAGGATGGAAATTTTAACACGACCTCTAAAAAACACTTCCTAAAAGTGAAGTTCAAACTCAAGACCTTCAAAAAACAAACCAAACAAAAACTTAAAAAATAAAAAATAAAAAACTCAAGATCCACGACTCTCCCTGGAACACGGGAAAGGGGAGGATCGTAAGTTCCATAAGACCACATTTTATAAGCTCAGAAACTCACTATTTGTTTGTTGAATGAACGAATGAGTGACAAGGAGTCTTCACCAAGGGCACCAAAACCAACCAAGGCAGAACCCCTCTGGTGGGGCCCTCTGAGATGATCCCCAGGTCTCCTGCATACTTCTAGTGACAGGCACACCCACCCCTCTTGGAGCAGCCTGTGCTCTGGTTGTACCACTCAGGGTGAGGTCACTGTGGCCTGTTGGACCCTAGATCAGGGCTCCTGAGGCACTCGTCCTGCTATCTAGGTCAGGCCTCCTCAGGAGCCCACCCCCAAATAGTGGCTAGGACCGGGGGAGAGAGAGAAGAGAAGGAAATTCAGAAAGTTTCCTCAGGCCATTTAAGACTGTGGACAGCGTGTGCTCGATCCCAGTGGGCATCTCTGGGAACAGGGAGGGGCATACCCTGAGTTTTCCCACCTGGGGAGTAAGGGAACTGACGCTTTACCCCCTCACAGCCCATCCATGATGGAGCGAGGGCTGTCTTCAGGGGTCCCGACTCCAGCATGTCCACCTCACCCTGTGCACCAGCTGAGGGGGCTCCTGCAGTCACAAAAAGCTCCTGGGGGAGTGGGGTGGCCGCCTTGAGAGTGGAGCCTTGAGGCCAAGTGCCGTGGGCAGCGTCCATTCCCCCATCACCACAGAGTCCATGATTCCTACCATGGAGACTTCTGAGGATATTCAGACCCTCCCACCCCACCCAGTTCTGGACCTTAGTAACTAAGGGACACTAAATGACTCATTTTCCTGCCAACAACATTCTAAATAAGCAAACTGCTGACACCAGTTGGAGGTCGGCTTTGCAGGTGCCTGGGGTGATAGCAACCTCCTGCACCCCACGTTTCTAGAAACCCATTGCCCTCTCAGGGCGTCTCTCTGACATTTTTTTTTTCCCAGTCGCCCACTCCATTCCATTTTCCACCTCTAGATTCCAGGGCTGATGGGACGCAGCAGGAAGGTGAATAAACTAAATAGATCTTGCTTCGGCTTGTGTTCGGCTTGTGAGGTGGCGTGTGATGAAGAGCACCATCTACTTTCCTGTGTGTTGCTTTTCTGTGTTGGCTTGCCTGCCAGATAAAGATGTGCAGGAGAGCTGTGGCAGTTTCGCTCCAAGGACAACTGCGCTGTCTAGACAGGAGCAAAGGACAGGAGGTGGGCCGGGATGCAAGAGTGGGGCCCAGGGAACTCTGGCAGGGTGCGGCCCAACTTCCCCGGGGTAGAAGTGGCAATGAAAGAGGCCAGGTGGCGGGGAGGCTCAGTGAGGGCCACAGAGTCAGCTATGACACAGGTGGTCGCCCTGGGGGTCTTCGTGCTTGCTCCTGCTCCTGAGCCTCTTCCCCACAGCTGGCTCCCTAAAGAAGCGCTGGGAATTTCCTACTTTGGGTGCCAAGGAATGGGGACAGCTTTGCATTTTGGAATTGACTTTTAAAACTCCTCCTTGTGAATAAGCCATGGGAAGAGACCTCCAGGGCCCCCTCCTCTATCTCACAGGGGCAGGGGTGGCACCTCTCCACCTCCTTCTCTGGTTGTTCTCCTGGGGCATTTGGTTTAATAGGTACATTCTAACAAGCGTGGCTTCCTGGGTATTGTAGACCAGGGCTTCTCAGATTCGAATGTGCATGTGGATCTTCTGGGAACCTTGTTRAGATACAGATTCCGACTCAGTAGGTCTGGGGTGGAACTTGAGATTCTGCATCTAACAAGCTCCTGATGCTGCTGCTGCTGCTGGTTTGAGGACCCCATTTATTTATTTTCAAAATGCTGGTCAGGGGTTACCAAGGAAGTTCAATCAATTCAGTGGGACAAGATAAATACTTTTGTTTGGCGGGGTGCTGGGCATGGAAACCAGATCCGCAGGCAGGCTGAGCGTGCGCTCTACCCCAGAGCGACAACCYCAGCCCAGAAGGGAGAGTTTTGACAGTGACGTCACCCCCTGATGATGAGAAGGAAGATGGCTAGCAGTAGATGGGAAATTCTACAAAGTAAGGACTGGAGAATGAAGAGCTTTCCCTTTCCCAAAGTCAGTGCCTGGGATGGAGCCCATGCTTCACTGTGTAAACTGGAAAGATCAGGCAGGCAGCTTGGATGGTTGCCCCAGCTGGACGACCGCCCAGATCTGTCCTGGGAGCACTGTCCAGATCTGTCCTGGGAGCTGGGAGCCAACCAAGCTGGAAATCCCCAGTGAGTGACCCACCAGGGGGAGAGTAAGGTGATATCTGACTGGAATCTCGAGAGACAGACACAGTTAATAAGATAAAACTGAAAATACATTGGATTATTGCAGAGAGAGGGAGAGGCCGTGGCTGTGGGCAGGTGAAACCTGGAGAGTCAACCTGGTTGGACTGGTAAGGAGAGTCCAGAGGCGCTCATCCAGAAACTAGGTCAGGGAGACTTCTTGGAGGGAGTGGACTCCTTATGCCACATTGGTAGCCCAGCCGAGCCCTGTGTGCTGGCTGCTGTGCCAGGTATTTCACAAGTACCACCCCATCTGACAGCCGTACCAACCTTTGTCTCAGAACAAGCCTGTCCTGCTTTGCCAGGCGCGGCTCCTTAAATTGGTGGCCTCACAGCCTCCCTGGCACAGTCCTGTGTGGCTGGTGTGGATTTTGTCATCATCCCGGGTTTACAGATGAGGAAACAGAGGCAGTCACTTAGGTCACAGCTGGCCTGACACCATCRTCAGTACTTTTCATTGTGTGTTTTTACTTTTCGTATTTTTTTTTTTTTGCCGTCCAACTCTCAGTCAAGTGTATTTCAGGGTGCAGCTCCGTGAATTTTATGTGCATAGACAGCCATGTAGCCACCCCTGAGATCAGGGTCTAGGACATTTCCAGTACCCCAGGAGGTTTCCTCGTGCCTCCAGATCCCATTCAAAGGATGACAACTCTTCTGATTTCTCTCCCCAGATTAGTATTGCCTATTCTGTTTTGTTTGTTTCTTTGTTTTGGGACAGGGCCTGGCTGTGTTGCCCAGGCTGGTCTCAAACTCACAGGCTCAGATCCCGGAGTAGCTGGGACTACAGGCATGTACCACCCGCCTGGCTAACATGGCCTGTTCTTTGTGTGTGTGAGACACTGGGGAATTTTTATTTATTTATTTTTAGTTGTAGATGGACACCATACCTTTATTTATTTAATTTATTTTTGTGTTGTGCTGAGGGTCCAACCCAGTGCCCCATATGTGCCAGGCAAGCGCTCCACCACTGAGCCCCAGCCCCAGCCCCTGGCACTGGGGATTGAGTGAGGGCCTCATGCTGCTAGCAAACACTCCTCTACTGAGCTCTGTCCCCACCAATAGAAAATAAACGGAAACTTTCCAAATATCCCTCAGCTGGAGAATAACCATCCAGTTGGGATGTTTTCCTGCCAAGCTGCTAGGCAGCAAATCTTGCCTGCCTTTCTTCTTGAGGGACACTTGGCCATGTCTGGAGACACTTTTTGTTGTTGTACCTGGGCCTCCATTGAGTGGGCAGAGGGGAGGGATGTTACTAAAMCCCCTTCAATGCACAGGACAGCCACCACAGCAAAGAGATGGGGCCTACCATGCTAATAGGACCCGAGGTGAGAAATTAGATCACACTGAATTGCTGGATTCAGTGAATTACTGGTAAACTTTTTTTTCTTGTCTTGACCTTTGAGATGGGCACTGGTCCTTTATCTGTCATCTGTGATGTAAATATTTCCCCCAAATCTACCCTCTTTTAGTTTCATTTGTGGTATGTTTTGCCCCCGCCCCCCACAATTATAGTCAAATGTGTTTCATTTGGTAGCCTCTGTGTTTCCTGTCATGGTTAAGGTCTTCCCTACTCCTTCAGTGCATATAATTTTCTGTTTCTATTTTAAGATTTTTATTGTTCTATTTTTTGGGAACCCATCCCACTTGGAGTTGATTTTGTAAATGGTCGAGGTGGGGGGCCATATGTACACATACATGTGTGTGTTCCAGGTGCAGAATACACAGACAATGTGCCTCCACGGACCCAGTCCAGTGCCATAGCAGGTCCCTGTTAAACATTTGTTGAAGGAATGATTGGAAAACAGGCAGGGGGTGGGGTACCAACAATAAATAAGCAGATACATCCGTAGTACATATAGAGTGATAAAAGCTAGCACATAATTATGGCAAATGTAAAACTGACCAAGAAAGCAAGGTGGTGCGACAGAAAAGAATGGACACAGTGAGAGGAGGCGATGGGGTTTGGGGAAGGGACCCGCTTAGAGGGAGTGTTCAGGGTGGGCTTCTCAGAGGACTGGAAGCCCTGACTTCCTGGAGCAGGAGCAACGATGGATGGATGGATGGATGGATGGATGGATGGATGGATGGACGGACGGACGGACAGATGGATGGATGGATGAATGGATGTGAACAGCTGGATGGATGGACGGATGATGGATCGACAGATGGATGGATGGTGGACGGAAGGATAGATGGATGGATGGACAGATGGATGATGGTTGGACAGATGGATGGGGCGGAGGTGCGGGTCCTCTGCCCCGGCCCCAGCGTGTGCTTGCCGCCGCAGGCCTCCAGCCGGCGCTGTGGAGCAGGGAGGACGTGCTGCACTGGCTGCGCTGGGCCGAGCAGGAGTACTCGCTCCCGCGCGCCCCCCGAGCGCGGCTTCCAGCTGAACGGCCGCGCGCTCTGCATCCTCACCAAGGACGACTTCCGCCGCCGCGCTCCAGGTTCAGGTGAGGGAAGCTCCGGGCTCCACTCTTCAGCGAGTTGGTGGGAACCCTGGAAGCACGGGAGGCCCCAAGCCCCTGGGGTCCTGCAGGGAGCCTTCCCGGGAAGGCRCTCCCTCCCAGCCAAAGGCAAAACTGGAGAAAGATCCAGAATTCATTGATTMGCACTGATAAGAGCTCAAGCCTGGCCCCCTGCATGAGTTTTTATTTTAGCCAGAACCCGGGCCTGAGGTCAAAGGAACCATGTTTCAGGAGCAGAATCTGTTGGTGGCCAGCGGCAGAGCCTCTGGGGTCCGTCTGACCCGCCCTTGGCCTTCTCGCTGGAGGCTCTTCATGTTGGTGCTGATCTGGTGTCTCCTAAGACCACACTCTTGTTTTCTCTGCAGCCTGTCTTTGGCAAGCAAGACCAAAGCCTGTGTGGCGGAAGGGGTTTTCTCATCTATTCTAATTTACTTCTTTTCTTCTAACACACCCCACCGCACTGCCACCTCTCAGGTTCTGCCGMACTTTTCCCCTCATGAGCCTTCTCGAGTGGCTGTGCCTGGATTTAAGTTAAACAAACAAACAAACAACAACACCCCCCCCCAAAAAAAAATAAAAACCCATTTAAAAAAAAAATTGACACACAGTATTAGTGCTTATTTATAGGCTGCAGTGTGACATTCCAGCARTGTATACAATGTGCTGTCACAGTAATGGGCCTATCCAGCACTTCAAACAGTTATCCTTTCTTTGTGTTGGGAAAATTCAGGAGTCCTATCTTCTGGCAATTATGAAATATGCAGTTAATTATTCTTTTTTTTTTAAAGAGAGAGGAGAGAGTGATAGAGAGAATTTTTAATATTTATTTTTTAGTTCTCGGCAGACACAACATCTTTGTTGGTATATGGTGCTGAGGATCGAACCCCGGGCCGCACGCATGCCAGGCGAGCGCGCTACCGCTTGAGCCACATCCCCAGCCCCTGCAGTTAATTATTCTCAATGATTCCCTGGATGTTATTTATTTATTTATACGTACTGAGTATTGGGCCTGGGGTGTTTTAACTGAGCTACATCCCTAAGTTGCTGAGGCTGGCCTTAAACTTGCAATCTTCCTGCCTCAGCCTCTCGAGTCACTGGGATTACAGGTGTGCTCCACTGCACCCAGCTAGAAATTCCCTGGTTTTAATGGGGCTGGTGGGTGTTGGCAGGAGATCCAGGCTCTGGCTTCTCCCACAGCGGAGACTGTCTGGGCAGAGGCAGGGCCAGGATGAGRCGAGCACAGGCCTGCTCCCTATCATGCCTGTGATTCTCTCTCACTTCCTACAAGCAACCCTGGTCCTCAGGAGCCCACTGTGTACCTCTTACCCCATGGCTGTCAGGTGGTTCTCCACCCAGGGATCCCCCCACTTTCCTCCTCCCTTTTTCCTGCCTACCATCAGCAACTTAGCCCAAAGGTGKGAGTCAAGAGGCATTTCTGGGACTATGGACAGGGCCCACCTGCCTTTAGGAAGAGGTTAGGACTATTCAGTCCCTTAGAAGACAGGCCAGCCTTTTTCGGGGAGGAGATACCAGGGGCACTCTACCACTGAGCCACATCCCCAGCCCTATTTTGTATTTTATTTAGAGACAGAGTCTCACTGAGTTTCGAGTTCTTAGGGCCTGGCTGTTGCTGAGGCTGGCTTTGAACTTGCAATCCTCCTGCCTTGGACTCTGGAGCTACTGGGATTACAGGTGTGCACCAGTGCACCCTGCCGGGGCAGCCATGAAATGAAATTTGTGGAATCCCATTATGCAGAGGAGACCAGCAGGGGGCTGAGATCCCTACCCTTGRTTATTTTGTTCTTGTTTGAGAGGATTTCAGGAAGACACAAAATTTAGTTAAAAAAAAAAAAAAGTAGCAAAGTTTAGAAGGGATAGGAAAAAGGGAACGGGAGTCATTCTTAATGGAGAGTGGGTCCTCTCAGAGAGTTTTATTGGAGGGTCCCAGGGAAGTTTCCAGAGTCCTGCCCAAGTTCACCTCTTGACTTTTGACTGACAGCAGGATTGTGTTAAATGTCCAAGTGCCTCCTGTGCCTGGTGAAGTTCCAGGTCACTTTGTCCTGTGCTGACTGGTTCTAATTGGAACCTGTTCTTATAGATATTATGGTTGGGGGAATTCCTCTTAGCTCCCTGAGTTCTGAGACCAGGTCTGTGTAAGGGTCACAAAATCTCCATTCCCCCATCTCCCACTGCTCCAGGGAGGGACTTGTGTTCTTTTTATTTTATTTTTAAAATATTGTTTTTAGTTACCAATAGACTTTTATATGCGGTGCTGAGAATTGAACTCAGAGCCTCACACATGCCAGGCAAGCACTCTACCACTGAGCCCTTCTTTTTATATTTTAAAATATTTTTATTCATAGATGGACACAATGCCTTTATTTATYTATTCATGTTTATGTAGTRCGSAGGATTGAACCCAGTGCCTCACACACGCCAAGCTCTACCACTGAGCCACAACCCCAGCCCTTGTGTTCTGATTAGCTGAGGCAGGAGGATTGCAAGTTCAAGGCCAGCCTCAGAAACTTAGTGAGACCCTGTCTCCAAACAACAACAACAACTAAAAGGGATGTGGCTAAGTGGTAAAGTACCCCTGGTACCACAAAAAAAAAAAAAAAGGAAGAAAAAAACCAAGCAAGTATGTGGGGTCCAGTCAGCGCAGTGGTCCCAATGTGTAGAATTACTCCCTTGACCTCATGTTCCCGCCACTCACGTCTGCCTATTATTTATCATCCTGAGCCTTAGAAGAACTACCTTTGCCTCCAGGGATGTGAGACACGGTTGTGCAGTTTGTGCACTGAACTCAGGCCCTCAACTGGGGGCATGTGGGGGTGCTCAGCCTGACCTTGGGGGGGGGATACCTTGGTGACCTTGGTGCCCAGCACCTTCCTCTACCAGGAAGGGATGTCTTTTTAACTGTAACCGCCAGGGGGCGACATTGGCTGTGCCCCTTGTCAGCCCCAACAGCCGGAGCCCCGCACCTCCTTTAGCAGGATGCTGGTGACGGGACACCCTGGGCTTCGTCCCKAGAGGCAGGTGACCACAGGGGACAAAGACTGGGCTCCCCACTGGCCTGGCCAGCAGCCTGCCTCCCCCCCACCCCCAGGTGACGTCCTGTATGAGCTGCTCCAGTTCATCAAGACCCAGCGGCGAGCCCTGGTGTGCAGGCCCTTCCTCCCGGGGACCTGCAGGCAGAGGACGCGCCCCGGGCTGCCCCAGGCCCCGGAAGGTGAGGAGGCCCTTCCTGAAGCTCCGAGCCCTCTCAGGTCAGCCTCGTGGCGGGACCGCCCATCCTCAGGGCAAAGCCAGGGAGGGGTGGCAGGGGCTGTCCGCCCCCTCCCCGCAGCCTGGCTCCTGCAGTCCTTTGAGTCAGGCCGGGGTCCCCCTCCTGCCTCTGTCTCCATGGAAACCCTCCTGCCAGGCGTCTCAGTTCTGTTTACTGTGGCCTCTGTGGCCTTTGACCTAGAGGTCATCTCCCTGCCACCCTCTTCCTTTGACTTCCAGGATGTCCCACTTGCCTGATTTCCTATAGCCCCAGTGGTCACTCCTCACAAATCTCCTTCTCTGGGTCCTCCTCTTCTTCCCTACTTCCAAATGTCAGGCACCCGGGGTCAGGGGGCTCTTCTCTGTCTACATTCAGGCATCAGGTGATTGGATCCTGGAAATTCACGTTAGATACTGCCCGTGATTCCCAGGCATGCCCTGACCTGTCCCCCACGCTTCCTGTCCCCCCTCCAGTGTATCTAGTGGGCATCTCAACCCCAGCAGCCCCTAAACCAGGGGCCCCATGTCCCCACACTGCTCCTTTCCCAGCAAACCCCGGCTCCTCCTGCCAAACTTAGTTCAAACACTGGACAGCGAATTAATTCGGTTTTCATCTCTATGACCAAAACACYCGACCAGAACAGTCGAGGAGGAAAAGCTTATTTTGAGATCATGGTTTCAGAGGTTTCTGTCCATRGTTGGCTGGTTTCATGGCTCTGGGCCCAAGCACCACGGCAGAGGGGGCTGAGGAGAAAACTCTCAGGTCACGGTGGCCAGGAAGCAGAGAGGAAGGAGGGAAGGGGCACAGGGAGGGTGAACCCTTCTGGGGCCCATGTGACCCACCTGCTCCAGGCCTGCCCCCCGCTCCCGCCGCCATACTGTAGTCCTTTCAGATTATTAAACCATCAAATGAGTGATCTGCTGTCAGATAACAGCTCTCCTAATCCAACTGCTTCACCTCTGAATGTTTCTGCATTAACACAGGAGCTTTGGGGGGACCCTCATTTTCAAACCCTAACAGACATCACTTTGGATTCCTGCTTCTCCTCCGTCTTCATCCTGCCAATGAATCTTGTTGGCTGCACCTTTGACTCTCTGCTGAATCCATGCACTTCCTGCACCCCACTGTTGGTCCCCGTGCTGCCCCACCACCTCTGGAGAACCTCCTCGCTGGTCTCCTCACTTCCGCTCTTGACCTCCAATGATCCGTTCCCCACAGAGCTGCCAGAGACCGCTAAGTCAGGCTGTGTCTTGCCTCTGCTCAGAATCTTCCAGTGGCTCCCTTCTCACTTGGAGTCAAAGCCACAGTCCTTACAGCGGCCTCTGCCCACTCTTCAGGCCTCTCCCCCTTGCTCCTGCTGCTGTGGCCACAAGGGCTCCTTGGGTGCTGAACAAGCCAGAGCTCTGCTCATGTCCCAGGGCCTTTGCTCCTGCTGTCCCCTCTGCCTGGATTCTCTTCTCAGTACTGACATTGCTCCCTCCTTTACCTCCTGCAGGGCTCCGTCAAATGTCACCCTGCAGCAGAGCCTCACCAACGTCTCTAAAATCCAACTTGTGCCTCTTCCAGATTCCTCATCTGTCTGCAAGCTTTATTTTCTCTCCCCGTCTTGCGCACTGCTTTTATCTTCTTTTTCATTTTAATCATCTATCCTCACAAAAATAAGCCCCATAATGAGTCCCAGTAGCAGGTTGTACTGCTTTACCTGTCTCCAGGGCCGGGACCATGTCGGCAGTCAGTCAGACAGCAGTGTCAGATCAGCAGAGAGGTTTCTGGATTCAGGGATGTGTCCCTGAGATTCTGAGCACGATGCCTGGCTCATAGACAGTTCTTAGTATTTCCTGGGCAAATGAGGAGGACGCTGGATGCTGGCACCTGGGTTCTAGGCCTGGCACCTTCACAGCTTGACTTTGCTCCAAAGAGGAAACAGGACGAGTGACTTGTAGGGAGTGGAGGCYGAGTGACAGGCTGGCTTGGGCTGTCTGGCCCTGGCCACTGCACTTTATGGCCTCCCCACTCTCTCACCAGRAGGTGGACAGGGAAGAGCTTTAGCCACAGGAGTCCCATGCTCCTGGGCAGGGAGGCCCTGGGCAGGGAGACCCTGGGCGCGCAGGATCGGTGTGCTCCTCTGCTTGCAGAGGGGATTGGGCCCTTTCAGGAAGCCCTCCTACCCACGGCCAAGTGCCTTCTGTCACAGCCACCAGCCCTGGGRCTTGCCAGCTCCTTCAGCCACCTGGGTTCTCCCAGTCCAGCCAGGCGGCCCCTCAGATTATCTCATTGTGCAGAGCCCGGCTGCAGGACCAGGGGGGTCTGCTCCTTCCCCAGGATGCCACGGGCCCCCATTGACGGCAGGATCGCAGGTGAGTAGGGGGCTGTGTTCCCTGGGCAGGAGTGAGGTGTGCTGAGGCTGGGTCCCAGAGGGGTCAYGGGTGACAGGGACCAGGGTTGTTTTGACCCAGGGGTGAGGGGATCTGGGCTGGGGGTGGGAAGTGGGATGATGTCCTGTGTGTTGGCCACAGTTGGGCCATAGCAGATGGATTACTTAGGATTGCCAAGGCCAGTCTGTCCCCAGGGCAGGGACAATTTGGGCAGTCAGAGTCGGACACTCAGGTTGGCTAGAGTACCTGCCCCGTCCCCTCTCGCCCCTCCCCCACCGCTTCATCACTCTTAAAACTCTATTGAGCACTTACTATGTGCCAAGCTTGGTTCCAAGGCCTTCATTTAGTTGTACCACAGCTCTTTGACGTGGGCACTGTTTTAGCCTGGTTTCATAGATAAGGAAACCAAGGCACAGAGAGGTTAAGGACTTCCCTGGGATTACACAGCACTTGTGGCGGAGCTGGGATGTGAACCCAGATTGTCTGGCTGCAGAGCCTGCCCTTTAACCTGGTGAATCACTTCACGGTCCGCCTTCGTTGTTAAGGGATTGATTGGCAGGCGGACAACCAGACACAGGGACAGAGAAGCCACCCATCTTTCCRGAAAATGTTCCTAGCCATGGTGGGGCCACCACCTTGGCTTCTGGGTCAGAGGTGACTGGAGGCCAATAAACGCCCAGTCTTTTCACCTGCAGTGCCCACCTGGTCTGAGGGCTCCCCTCTCAGGTGCTGTTCCCAGGGCTTTGGGCACATTGACCACCCGTCACCACCCTCACAGGGAAGCTGCCTGGGGTGACTTTCCTGAAGGCACATGGCCCGGGGCCCTGGGGCTCAGATCTGTGAGGGTCCCCTTGGGTGTTGATTTTCTGGGCACTTCCTGGGTCCAAGGTGCTGAGTGCCTGGGCAGGGTCTTGCCCATGGGCCCCGCCAACCCTCGCATAGGGGAGCGTGACCGGGGTGTCTGCAGAGCTGGGCTGGCCTGGCGCTCCGCCTGCCCCCTGAGCCCATCCCCTCCCGMGTCCCCTGGGTTATGAGCCACCTCCTAGAGCTCTGAGGTACAGAAGGAGCCCCCATTGCTCCTGTTGACACCCCTGTCTTCATCCTCCTGCTGGGGCTCCCTGGGCTGGCCTCCAGGTCCCCGGGGACACGGTCCTCACGGCTCCTCTGTGCTGACCTGCAGACTGCCACCTGCTGTGGGACTACGTGTACCAGCTGCTCCGGGAYGCCAGGTACGAGCCCTACGTCAGGTGGGAGGACAAGGACGCCAAGGTCTTCCGAGTCGTGGATCCGAACGGGCTCGCCAGACTCTGGGGGAACCAAAAGGTGAAGCTGGACCAGCGCGCGGGCTGGTCTCCACATACCCAGGGGACAGAGCGAGGGTCAGAGTGGACCCCGGGGCACCAGGGGATGGTCCTCAATGATGGGGCCTTCCCTTCCCTTGGGGTCCCAGAAGTGCACTGGTTAAAAGTCACCTCTTAGGGATGGAGGATGTCCCTGAGGTGTGACCTCGCCTTTGCTTAGTACTTAAGCCTCTTTGGGGGGGGGCAGTGCTGGGGAGGGAGCCCAGGGCCTCACCACATTAGACCAGCCTCTACCCCTGGCAGTGAGCCTTTCAGAGATCTTGTCGTGGACTGCACGGTGCCTGCCGGTTAGCCCAGAAGAAGAAGCTGGGTATCTGAGGGAGGGTGGGAAGAAACCCAGGCCCCTCGCTCCCCTGGCGCGTCAGCAGTGGGGGCCAAAGGGCCCGGGGCGGCTGAGGCCCCTGCACATTCCTATTTGGCGGATCGCCCAGAGCTAAGTGGGTGTCCGTGAGGAGATCGCAGGCGGTTCACCCCAGTGCTCAGGATTCCACATTTATTTTTGAGTTGGTATTAACAAATGGGATGGCCATCTCTGTCTCAGGGTCACAGTGGTGGCCTAGGAATGATAGTGCTGCACGCCTRGAATCCCAGTGCAGAGGCTGAGGCAGGAGGATCACAAGTTCAAGGCCAGCCTCAGCAATTTAGCGAGGCCCTGTCTCAGAATAAAAAATGAAAAGAGGCGTGTGGCTCCGMGGGTGAGGGCTGCTGGGTTCATCCCGATGTCTGGGTTCCTTTAAGGAAATTTGAAGAGAACTGGCTACTTTCTGCACAGCCACAGTGGCCCCTGCTGCTGCCACCCTGTTACGGCTGGTGCCCTGAGAGCTTGTGGACAAGAATTCACATGGTGACAAAGAGGGATAAAGAAATTGTTGGGACACTTCTAGGACTTGATGATTTTGTCAATATAGTGCTGGGAGATGTCACTGAATTTTGAAATCATATCAGAAGGAAGAAGGATTACTAAATTTGATTTTTTTTTTGATACCAGGGATTGAACCCAGAGGTGCTTAACCACTGAGCCACATTCTCAGCCCTTTTTTATACTTTATTTACAGACAGGGTCTCACTGAGTTGCTTAGGGACTCACTAAGTTGCTRAGGCTGGCTTTGAACTTGAGATCCTCCTGCCTCAGCCTCCCGAGCCGCTGGGATGACAGAAGGGTGTCACTGCTCCCTGCTCAGATCAGATTTTGCTAAATGGAAACAATATAAYGATGCTGGTTCCAGGAGGAGAAGGACCTGAGATATGAATGAATTCCCTTGACTTGTGATGGATTCCATCTTGTTTAATAAAAGGCAACAAAGTAGATTTTCTTTTTAAATTTTAATGTTTAGATTTTCTAAAGCTAATTTTCCCATTAAAGGGAAATACTTTTGAAGATGAATTGTATGACCAGTTTTCTAAGTTAATCATGATTGTCCTGGGGGGGAAAAAAAAGTAGTTTGTTTTTTGAGGACTGAAAAAATGAAGGTGTTTCTGGTTAACTTTAAAAAATGATGACGATCAGCAGTTTTTAGCATTTCCTAAACTGCAGTGAGTGGCGCCTGCCTGCCCTCTGCTGTTGGGAGGGCTTTCCCTGTGTTAACTCACTCAGTACCGCAGCCTTGGGAGGCAGGGGTCATGTGGAAACYRAGGCACAGAGARGTTTAGCAAGTGCCAAGAGTYTAGCCCAATAAGGGGACAGTGTGGGGACTGTGGCTGGGCTGGCAGCTGCCCTGCACTATTCTGCTGCCTCTTGGCAGTGCTGGTGGCCGGAAGGATGTTRATGACTGAAGTTCGAGGGTGTTTAATCTGGTCCAACCCCATATCGCCCAGGCAGGGAAATGGGCCCAGAGTGCAGCAGATCCACTTAATGAGCACATGCTAATGCCCAGCACTGTGCTGAGGATCTTCACAAATCAGCTAATTCAACCCTCACCACAAACCTCACGGCCAAGGAAACTTTCACTTCATTTCATTTTAAATGGACTCAGAGATACAGAAACGTGTCCAAAGTCACACAGCTGCCCAGTGGTCAAGTGGGGCTCACTGATGCCAACACCCAGGCTTCCCGCGCTGACCCTGTACTGCCTGCCCTCCAGAGGGAAGTCGGGGACCTGGCCACAGTCATGCTACTCCCTGGTGCCAAAGCCACCCGTGCAGTCCACCACGCAGCCTCTCCCTGTTTCCCACAGGGCACGTGTGGTTATTTATTACTGCTGGGACATTTGCTTTGGAACAGTGACCTGGGGTTCGCTCCCACTGCGTAGTCTCCCCTCCTTCCTCCCCTGACCACCTCTGCCTGTCTCCTTCCAAACTCAACCGAGTGCCACTAAACCCTGCCGAGCCCTGGGCCCAGGGGCTTGGGAAACCCTCTGGCCCAGTCTACTCCCTTCACCGTGTGGAGAGTGAAGTTCGGGAGGCCTGGGCTGTCGAAGGGGGCTGACCTGGGGCTGCTCTACCTTCCAGAACCGGGTGAACATGACCTATGAGAAGATGTCCCGTGCGCTGCGCCACTATTACAAACTGAACATCATCAGGAAGGAGCCCGGGCAGAAGCTGCTGTTCAGGTGAGCAGCCTGGGGACCAGGGGACAAGGGGAAGCCCCCTGTGTGGGGGRCAGGTGCTGATTTGTGGTTGGGATCTGGATTCCAGGTTCCTGAAGACTCCAGAGGAGAAAGTCCGGCACAAGAGCAGCCACCTGGAGCAGCTGGAGAGCCAGGAGCAGGGYGGGATGGACTTCAAGGACAAGATGCTTGTGGTCCCTCTGTGAGCGGCCAGCAGGCTCCGGGCACAYGGATGGGGCGGAGACCAAGYCTCCCCTGGAGGCAGCCCCCTGGCTCATCGCAGGGCGGTGGGGATTCCCAGCCAGATGGTGTGATCCTGGAATCKTCGCTGCCATCTGGAACTCCAAGCTGCCTGGGACCTGGGGTGGCTGAGAGCTGGGAGGCCTCACACCCAGGACACTGGGAGAGGCTGGTCGTCCTTTGTGTAATGCAAACAGACTGGACTGTCTTGCTGCCCTACCCTGGTACCTGCCCAGCCCAGGAGAGGTGGCCAGGCTCTGGCCCTGCCCGAGAGAGGACTGGAGGTCCCTCACGGAGGCTCAGTTTTCCTCATCTGCAAAAGGGGTGCACTTATAAAAACCCACCCTTGGGGATGACGTATGAAATAGAAAAAGGGTCAGTTCTTTGGCAGCTTTAGCAAACGACCGTGCTGGTAGCTGGTGCTTTTTAAGAGCTTCCTGGGTTCCAGGCCAGTGCTGAGGGCCTCCCATGTGTCTTACCTCATTTAACTCACATACTAAGCCCCTGAGGTTTGTAGGTGAGGAAACGAGGCTGGCTGACCTTAGGGGACACTTTTCTGCTGGGTTTCTGTTCTTGTGACTAAAAGGCTTAGGGGTCACTCCAGTTGAACTGGGCTGACTGGGCTGCACAAAACAACCACACAAGAGACACAAATACCTTTTTCTTTGGGGTTGCTGAGACGGCTCCTCTGACCTTAAGGGTCCACAGAAAGAGAGAGAGCAAGAGAACATGCACTGACCCCTTTTATTGAGGAGAAGCTATTCACATGAGGCAAGGGGTCAGGTTTCAGGGGGCTGAGTATCTTCATGATGTCACTGTCAGCAGGTTGACTGACACCTGGGTAGGCCACACCCAAGGGCACAGTTAGAGAAGGGGACACACACAAGGCACTTCCATGGAAGAGTCTATCCTAAACAGGGCAAGGGGTTATATTACAAAGGCAAAGGAACCGTGAGCTTCACCCATGGGGCTGTAGCAAGACACACCCCTGCATGAGACAGCGACCCTCGCACCCAAGAAGGGTGGGGAAAGCTCTGCCACATTTCTACCACTGAGCGCCTCAGCACCCAGCCGGGGAGTGTGACTCAGCACATGCAAGGATGGTCTCCCACACTTTTCTGCCAAGGCCCRGCCTCCTGTCTGTCCTTGGCATCTTGGCTGAGCTCTTCATTTTAATTGGCTTGACCTCCTCATCCTCAGTTTTTGGGTCTTCGGTGGCCCTGTGAGTATGACCCAGTGAAGGCCACCGTCCTCCTCGCCACCTGTGGTTTCCTAGGCTCCTGTCCCTGTCCCTGCCAGGTGACCTTGGGCCATTTGCACCATCTCTGTGGAGTGGCTTCTCTTCTGTAAAATGGGGTTGCTTCTCCCGCCCTGAGCTCCCAAGGCAGCGGGAACCTTCCATAGGATGGTCTCCGTGGAACCTCAGGCCACTCTGCCACCCGGGGCTGCTCTAGAGCATGAGGACGCCTCTATCCCCTCAGCAGCTGCTCTCTGCTCCCAGCCCTGAGGGCTGACGGGGCCTGGGGGGTCAGAGCCTCTGCCCGGCATCCCCCAGGTCAGGTCGGGGAGAAAGAGCAGGAGTGTCCCCCTCATCAAGCAGAGCTTCTCGAACTCACCTCCTCTCCCAGAAGCAGGAAGCCACCCTGTCTGCCCCCAGCAGGAAAACAGCCACCCCCTCACGGGGCCTGCGCTGGCCTGAGTCACCGGGCAGGAGTCGATGAGGACTCTGGGGCTTTGGGACTCAGCGCTGGGCCAGCCCCTGAGCAGGAGACTCCTGGATGAGTCCCGCCTGGGACCCCCCGGCCTTACGGGAAGGGGCCAAGCAGGCGGCTTGGAAAGAAGGTTCCGTGGAAGTCCTCGGCCCTGTCACTGACCCCGAGACGGCTCCACTCCTGTGCCTCAGCCTSGATCTACCTGACTCCAAAGAAGGGGACTGTCAGCCTCTGTCAGCCCTCATTTTATGGATCAGGGGACGGAGGCCAGAGAGGACAAGGGGCTTGTGGAGGTCCTGTGGCCACGCCCCACCCAGCCCCTGGCTCCGAGTGGCCTCACTTCTTCAAGGCCCAGGTGGGAGAGGCTGGGGAGAGGGGGTTCAGGGGTCACTCTTCAGTTACGGCTTTGGCATCTGACATGTGGGTGTCTGTTCAGAGGTGCGGATCCCAGGGGCTCTGCTCACCCCAGGGCGGTGAGTCTCGCCCACCTGAGGCCATCAGGCGGGGAGTGGGCCGCTGGGAGAGCARGCGTGGGCAGAGGCCCGACCCGGCCCGGATCCTGGAACTCTCTCCAGCCTTGGGCTGAGCTCCAACCTTCCCCCCACCTCCCAGGCACATTAGGCCCTGGTCTGGGGATGGACACCTGGTATCCTTCTCTGAGCATTAACTGAGCACCTATGATCTACCTGGYACCAGGTGAGACTCAGGGTTTCCATTCTATTTTTTGTTTACACGACTAGRTTTCTGTAAAGTGGCGGGTCCCTGGACACTATGTCAAGATGCACTCTTTCCCCAGGAATCCTAAAAGGCAGGAGATGATATTTTCATGGTTTGAAACAGTGGCCAGTCACCTTCTCTTTTTTGTCAGATTCGTTCAGTGCTGAGGTCCACGGAGTCTATGAGCAAAGCGAGTGTGTTAGTTAATGAGGCAAATGACATAAGTCACCGTCTCCCCCCAGCTGACGGTTCCCAGCACCAACCACGAGCGCCCTTACCCTCCATCTTCACCACTGCACGGATTCTTGCCCATGAAGGCTTTTTCCCTCTCAGGGAAGTTCCACACACAGCATTTTCTTTAATCCTGGGGCCCTCCGTGTCTTGAGCTTTTCCTGCAGGAAGCCTGGACTGACGCTGGTGGCCATGGTCTCTGTCACTGAGGATCCTAGTGGAGATCCAGTGTTAAACGCCTTTCCATAACTGTAACATGTACCCGAGATGATCAGCTTATTAAGAGAAAAGGTTTGCTTGGGCTCACGGTTTTGAAGGTTCCAGTCCGTGATCAGGCAGACCCATTTCATGGYGGGAGTTCTTGACAGGAGTTCATGGAGTTCACAGTGGAAAAAGGGAAATRGAAAGGGCTGGGGTCCCACTGTCCTCTTCGAGGGCACACCCCCCAATGACCTAACGCCTCCCCTTYGGCCCTGCCTCAAAGTTTCCACCAGCTCTGAATCGCACCACACAGGGGACCAAGCCTGTGCCACACGGGCCTTCAGGGACATTTCAGGTTGAAACACAGCACAGCCTTTYCCTGCTTCTTCCTCTGGTCCCTCCCACAACATTAACCCACATGGCCCAGACAAGTGTCTCTCAGAAGTTGTGTAGGAGCCAGGCACAGTGGGGCACGCCTGGAACCCCAGCAACTCGGGAGGCCAAGGCAGGAGGATMGCAAGTCAAAGCCAGCCTCAGCCACTTAGGGAGGCCCTAAGCAATTTAGCAAGACCYTGACTCAAAATGAAAAATAAAATGGGGKCGGGGGSTATATCTCAGTGGTTAAGTGCCCCTGGGTTCAASCCCTGGTTCCAAAAAAAGTTTATGCAAACTCATCCTGAGAACATTCACAGAGCAAGGTCCTGGGCCTCTGCAGGGCCCAGCGTCTGGTGGTGAGTGGGAAGAAGGCGCAGGAGCTTCTCAGGTGCTCAGTGTCGGGGCCCCTCCTCCTGTTGTCTCTGTCACCCCATGGACCTCTGAATGAAGCCACCATGGAAACCACCCCCAAACTGGGATGGATGGGAGTTTAAAGTGTGTTGTTCTGGAATCAGAATTCGTATTTAAGAGTTTTTTTTTTTTTTTAATTAGAGCTTTATACATAGTAGTTGGGTTCATTTTGACAAAATCATACATGCACAGAATTCGATTTCAGTCCCCATCCTTCCCCTTTCCCTCCCTCCCTCCTTCCTCGTATTCTCCTTCTATTCTGATCTTTCTTTTGCTCATTTATTTATTTATCTTTGTTGGTACTTTCTATGAATACATAAGGTTGAAATCTCCTGTGGAATAATTATATATGCATATAACATGATTTTGTTAAATCCATTCCATGTTTCCTGCCCCTTCCTCTCCTCCCTCCCTCCCTCTCCCTCTCTTTCTTCTACTTCTCCTCCACTGATTGGCCATTTATCTTGCTGAGTTGCTTAGGGCCTCTCTAAGTTGCCGAGGCTGGCTTTGAATTTGCCATCCTCCTAACTCAGCCTCCCAAGCCGTGGGGATACAGGTGTGCGCCACCGTGCTGCCTGATCTCCCCTTTATCTTTATGATACCTGATCCCTGGCAACCTGCCTTCTTTGCAAATTCGACCCTTGATTTTTGGAGTCCCACTCATTTCACTTAGCGTGATGTTCTCCAGTTCCATCCGTTTGCTGGCTAATGCCATAATTYCATTCTTTTTTATGGTGGAGTAAAACTCTGTTRTGCATATATACTGCATTTTTATATAAGAACTCATTATCTTATTTTTTAAAAAATTTCAGTATTCTCATAGGGTAATTGCTCCTATATTGGCGGCTGGGGTTGGTGATGAACCAACAAAGGGGACAGAACTTGAGAAGTTAGCACATAACTGGGGGAAGCAGATGTCCGGGAACAGACCCTGCCAGCCCCCAGGGAGCGGTGCAGCTGTGCCTCCCAAACTGGTGAGTCCTGCTTGGGAGGCACAGGGGAAGCGTCTCTTAGGAAATATCACCTAGACTTCTGATCCCTTTTTCCTGCATTCATTCTAGAGGGGTGAGGTCTGAAGACACAGCGGGGCCTGGAGCCTTATGGTCCTTGAGAGGTCAGGAGGACGCTGGAAACAGGATTCGGGCACTCCCGCGCTGAAGGCTTCTCTCGAGGGAAAGGCCTGCAGTTTAAAACCATATCCACCAGGTGGCGCAAAAGCTCCATTTTATATTGGTGTTGGGGCCCAGCTGCCCGTCTTCCCTTACTGGGAGGTGGGGAGGACTCTCCAACTCAGGCATGCCCTAAATAGTCATTCAGACTCTGCTTGAATACCTCCAGTGACKGGGAGCTCGCCACCTCTAGGGGAAGGCTAAGTAGCAGTGCTGGGGTGGAACTGAGGCGTACCAAAAAGTACCCGTCTGATGATACTGTCACCTTCTTTTCCCAATCTGCAGGGCACTGCTTTCTGAAATTCCTACCTATCAGGTCTCGTTGGGAATGCTTATCTCCTTTCCTTTTTATCACCCTCTCCTCTGGTAGTTGATCAAAGTTCTCAGCAGAGCCTGGATGAGATCTTTTAGAGGTCGGGGGCATATGCCAGGTGTGTGTCAGAAGCCTCTGTGCCCTCCCACACACGTGGGCCCTGGTTAGGGACTGAGCAGTCTGTAGC